ATGTGAAATCTATGGGGCTGCCTAACTGAGCACACGATTCCTGTAACATCTCAGAAACAGCTGCTGAGAACCATCCTTCAGCTCGCTCACCTTCAGTCACTGAAGTTAGCCACCGGGCTTTACACCCTAGGTATCTGCACCCAGGACCACGAGTGTTACTGAAGAGATGGTGTTCTGCCGGCCTTTCCCCCCCTTAATTCTGCCTTTTCTTTGGGTGAAGAACTAATCAAATGCTGATATGTTAGCAAGTGGGTTTAAAAAAAAAAATTTAGGAAGTTATTAATTATTATGAATTTATTATTAATTATGCTGGTTGTCATTACATTCATATTTCTTATTGGGAGATGCTACCATATTTAATCCAATGTTACAACTTAGTGTTAAGTTCACAATGCTGTTTGTTACCATGCAGGACCTGGAATTTCATTCCTCAGGAGATTTAGCGTTTGTAGAAATTCGGACAACGGAGAATGAAGAGTTGAAAATGCAAAATTTTCTACAGGATAATATGGCTTTAAAAATCCCCTTGGAACATCTGAAACAGGCATTTTCAGTATTTCAGGCCATTTTTCCAACTCCCTCTTTACTGCGCTAGAGTGTCAGCTGAAGATACGGGCAAAGAGCTGGCCAGGGAGGCACTCAACACCTACACAGGCAAGACATCCCAGTAACACGATGTTCAGGGTATCCCCCAGTGGCACGGCAAGTTAGCCGGTGACTTTGAAGCCCGAGAAGCCACAGAAAATGGGGCATTATGGGGTGGTTCTCAAGAGCCTCCCAGACGGATTTCTAGGCTGAGGAGCCCTGGAAAAGATTCAGGGGCAGCTGCCAGAAGTCAATAAAATAGCAAGTGTCCTGAAGAACCTAGGCAGCAATCAGTTGTGTGTTGCCTCTTCCAGTGCAAGAAGTGGGGATCATCGAACAAAACTGTTTGGAGCCAAACTAACCCAGAGGAGGTTAATATTTCTCGCAACAGGCAGGAATTTGGGGCTCCATCCCACAGGATGTTAAAAAGTTCACATGGTCTCAGGGGGCAATTGGGAAATTAATGGAGAAATATACAGAGGACCATTAAACCCAAAGACAACATCTCTGTTCCAAGAAATCCCTGGAGTCTGGGAGAGTACATGTGCCCTGTTCTTACAAAAACTGTAAGAATTGTTTTGCCCGCTGTTCATATTGGTTTTCCCTTTAGGAACAGGCAAAAGTCCATTGCTAAATGCACCTGAAAGCCTTTGAGCTATGCAGAAAGAAAACTGGGGAGTTGGTAATTTCAAGTGACGACAAATGGAAAATGGGAGATGCGAAGCATCAGGAACACAAAGCAGTGCGCAGGTGAGGTTGGAGTGCGTGGCCACGTTCCCGAGGGACGGCTCAGTGGCGACGGTGCCTGGAGCTACCCATCCTGCCAAAGCCACACACGGGTAACTCATGCAAAGAAAAAAAGCAGGATCACAGACGCACCCAGCTCCACTCCGGCAGTGACGCGGCACGAGCACACTGCCGCTTGTTTTCCCGGCTGGAGTTTTCCCACTGGCAGAAGGAAACGCACCGATTGCCCTTTGCCGCAGCCTTGGAGAGCGGCTGTCACAGGAGCTAAAATGTTTTCTTTTAGTGCTAAGACTAAATTCGAAGTTTACAGGCAGGAATTTTGCAAGGGGTCTGTATACTTTGAGAAGTCTCATTGACTTTTAATAGGATTCAGACATTTAAGGAAAAAATAAATCACCCCGGTGGCACTAGATTATGGTATATTAATTTTCTGGCAAACTAAAGTATGAAAATTCTAACAAACTTCCAAAGCAATGACTAACATTGGGTAAATACTGAAGAAAAAGCTACAAAGCAGTATCCCATGTGGTGTTTTCCCTCCTTTTGTGCCTAGGTTTTTCAGTCAACAGATTATTTTCTGAAGGCTCCAGCAGCTTCTCCTGAGGGCATCTCTAAGCAGAATATAAACAGACCATTCATTTAGACGCTGGAAATGTTTTCTTGTTTCCCATCTATCACATATAAAACCCCCTGCCATCAGTGCAAACACTGATGGTCCTGTGTTTCTAAAAAACAGCAACATTAACTGGAGAAACCTCACATTTAACAGGGACTGCTTATAAGGATGGACTCCGTTGGTGAACTTCAGACCCAGTGACTTTTAAGACTTTCACGTTTCCAAACTTAACACAATTGTGTATCACTTCTCTTTCATCTTCCTTGTAAGGGCTACAAAGATGATGAGGGGACTCGAGCATCTCTCATATTAGGAAAGGCTGAGGGAGCTGGGCTTGTTCAGCCTGAAGAAGAGAAGGCTGCGAGGGGACCTAATATATGCTTACAAATATCTGAAGGGTGGGTGTCAGGAGGATGGGGCCAGACTCTTTTCAGTGGTGCCCAGCAACAGGACAAGGGGCAATGGGCACAAACTGAAGCACAGGAAGTTCCGTCTGAACATGAGGAAGAACTTCTTCACCCTGAGGGTGACGGAGCACTGGAACAGGCTGCCCAGGGAGGTTGTGGATTCTCCTTCTCTGGAGATACTCAAGACCCACCTGGACAAGGTCCTCTACAGCCTGCTGTAGGTGACCCTGCTTCGGCGGGGGGTTGGACTAGATGACCTTGACCGCCTGAGCCGCAGCAGCACACGCTTCAGGAGGGACAGGCAAAGCGCACCCCGTTCCTCGGGCTCCCAGCTGTCCCTGGGAGGCTGGGGCAGCATTTTCAGCCACTGCCTCAGAGTTTTGCGCATCTTCCTTTCTGGCAATCCAGGCAAGAGCAACCAGAACAGAGCGACTGGTCCGAGCAAACTCACAGTATTTTTAAAAGCAAACAAACAAAAAATCTGCAGTCTCTGGGGGGGGTTTTGAGATATAGAGTAAAACTGCTGATCAGCACAAGAAAATTAGACTCCCAGTTTCTTGGCTGAAATTTCCCATTTGCACTTGACAGCAAAAAAAAAAACCCTCCATAAGGCCAAGAGCAAAGCAAAATTTCAGAGATAATGCGGGAAAATGGGACTACTCAAAGGATTTAGAATGATGCAGATGCGGGCTCTTATTCTATTACAAGTCGAAGTTATACCAAATTTCTGTCAGTTTATGATCCAAGAACCTACTTTTCTTTAGCTCCCAGATACAAACTTTCGACTCTCATTTTAGTCTGCCAGTGGTAAGCTCAGTCAAAATACAATAATCAGGACTGTTCATTTTCTATACGGTTAGCTTTTTGCTAATTTGTCTGTATCAACAAGTGTTCATATCAGCTTAACTTGTCATAAAATTGTATCCACAGCAGAGTCACTGACTGAAACGAAGCTGAAACTCCTGCTCAGGGACATCAGTAGATACAGGGACAGCAGGCATAATTCAAAACAAACTCTGGGTTCTTCACATAAGTTTTAACACTTGACCATCTGATAATTTATGGAGATCATTAGAGCATAAAAAGATTAGATGGATTAAAATCAGTCATCCTCAGGGCTGAGTACTACAGATAGTGATGGCGATGAGGACTTAAAATGACACTGGTCTCCCACCCTTCTATTTCAAGTGCCCAGTATGTCAGAATAAATGCAAAGACATGAAAACCAATGTTCAGTTTCATGCTTGAAGTTTCAGGTTGCTGTAATTTTTATCCTCATATACTTTAAGAACTAAAAATTATACTTTGCATACACCTCCATTCAAAGAAAAATCTGCTATTCTGCTTTTCAGCCGAAGCAGCTGCCAAAAAAGAACCTGTTCAGTGGCAGCTCCCGATTCAAAGAACAAACTCAAACCTTAGCAAAATACAAGGGCAAGAACTGATTTTTTTTATTAACCTATTTTACAGACTCTCCAGAGGAAAATGAGTACTGTCAATGGCCCTTCACTGGATGAGACTAATATCTTACCAGAGGACATGGCGTTATTTCACTTTTACGTCTCTCCCTCAAGAATACTCCCTTTGATGAAGTAGTTCAAGGGCAGGCATTAGAAAGCCTGTTGTAGCAAGGTACAGCAAATGGATCCAAGCCACATTCAGGCTTCATCAGTAAAAATGTATATGGTAAAATTTAGTTTGACAAGCAACACAAATATTTGCATCACCTTGTTCCCAGTGGAGGACATTACCTTGTACCACTGGTCACTTTCCTTTCAGGTCAACTTGATACAAGTACAAAGAATATTGCTGAAACTAAGCCACAAGGGATGGAATTTATATTGTAAGGTTCTGAGGTAGCCAACTGATTTTTTTTTTTTTTTTAATCGATTACGGCAATTACCCTTTTGGACCTAAATAGCCTCTTTTAAACATCAGCAATACAATATATATACCACCCTTTTTGTTTTTTTACTATTATGTCAGCTATAAACAAGTATCTTGCAAAAATTACAGATGACTCCCACTTGAAGAAACGACAGAGAAACAGACGACTGCAGTGCATTTGAGGGACAATCACACTCTTTAAAACAGGCACATTTCAAGAGAGGAGTCTGAGGCATGCTCGGCATACCTGACGATTTAGTTAAGGACATTTATTAGCTGTGCCTGTCAAGCAATTCACCACTCTGAAGAAGAATCTCAGACATCAGTCCCTGGCAAAATGCATTCTGCATTTTTTTTTTTTTTCCCAGGACGCTGTGCAGAGTTTTATTTTCAGTAACTGTTAACCAGGCTGTTAAGTTAGATAGCACTGGTATGCATGCATACTCACACTGATGCCCTCAGCCATTAAAGAACCTGCGTAAGCAGTAATCAGATTGGGTGGTAGCTGGGGTAAGCAATCTTAGGAGGAAAAATGTTTTTCTAGAACTTTTGTGCTTTGAATGAAGCCCCAAGTTCTTTCTCCTGAAGGAATTCTCAACCAGTTACACAGGCAGTTCGTTTGTACATACCATTATTCCATTTCAAATACGGGCTTTAGATTTTGCTGGTGTATGGTCCATTGCCAGCAACAGACACACAAACCCACCAGTAATACAGAGCTTAAAATGGTAAAAAGAAGACACACTTGAAGAGAAGTATCTTTATAGTTCTCATTAAAAAATAAAATAGGCAAAACTTTAAAAGAGGAACACCCCATTCCAACCGAAATTTTAAAATATACTTCTGTGCTAAAAGCAAAAGTCTGGATGTGAGCCTCATGGAAGCTCCCAAGTAACATAGAAAGAAAATTAATCTTTCACATTACTCGTATCTGTGTCTTTGCTTTCCTGGCTTACATGGCTGTTGGCATCTTTACTAGATTGATCTAAATCCTCAATTTTATTTTCTACTTCCATAGCACTGCTTTCCACAGGACTGTTGGAAGATTCTTCACCTATTTCTGCTTCCATTTTGGTAACTAAATCATGTTCTTTATCTTCAACATCCATTCCTTCCCCTGTTTGTGCCAGCTTATGTTGAACTTCTTCATCCGTTTTACTTTCCGATTCCTCCTCTTTCCTCTTTGCTTTAAACACTTCAACTCCCATCATCCTCAGGTAATGAAGTCTCTCATTCTTGGGCACAAAGGCACGGAGTGATGTCTTTCCTTGCCAACCACACAGCACTATAGGACACTGAAGATCATCAGGTTTTCTACAAACAAGCAGTTACGTTTGGTCAACTAGGAGAAAGCCAATCTTCAGAATTTAATTTTACAGCCATACCTTGATAAATAAGTGCAGAGTCTTCAACAGTAAACACATTTTATAACTATTCATAGAACATGCAAGTGCACTGGTCTTAACTTCAATATTTAAACAGGTACCTGCTTGTCTACAAGCAAGCAAAAGAAATAAAGCTTGATGCTATTAAATTTCTGCAACAGGCAAAATCATTTCCTCTGGTTTCAAAAGTAATATAAGCAACAGCAAGATGAAAGTTTACATTTAAAAAGTTCTCAAGAGCTTCTGATACTACTTTATCAACAAAAATGAACAATGAAAAAGTTTTTCTGTGTCAAGTGCTGGACTTCACAGGAAAACAAACCAACACACACACATGCAGTGATAGTGTGGACCTCTGGCAGAACTCCTAGCTCTCCTTTATAAAGCTAAATCCTACAATCGTTTTAAGAACATACAGGCAAGTGTGGTCTTTCCCTGTTACGTTCTTTGTACGCTCTCTGGCTTTACTGTTGATCTCACTGCATCTCTATGCATTCATTTCTGGTTTTGCCGAGTGAAAATAAAATCTTGTCCAAGTTTTAAAACCACGTAAATGGAAAGCAACACATCTACTTACTCAGGGACTTGGTGCAATGTTAACACGATCATCATTCGAAAATGTCCAAGCACTTGCCAACCTTGCCCCCTCCCAAACCCCAAACAAACAAATTAAAATACAAAACTACATAGTGGATTAATTTACTCAGTGAGTTCAGCAAGGAACTTTTACCTAAGGAAAATGAACACAAGAGTATGTCAGCCCAAACTTTAGAAAAATTGTTCTTCCCATTTTGTCTCACCAAACACTCAAATACAATGACTTGGAAGTAAAACATCACAAACGAAAGACTGAAAACCAGGTCTTCATTTCTTCAAGCATCCAGCATAGAGGAAATAAAAATTTGAGTAGACATTGCTCCCCATATTTAAGAAAATAAAATCTGAATAACTATATTTGATACATAAAATCATGACAAACAATCGCAGATGACATAAATAGTTTCAGCTGGAGCACTAACAGGCATAAAGATCAGTAGTGCATGTAAAAATCTTTGTTCATCAAATATTTTAAATGTTACCTCCCAGCACTGCCTCACAGAAGTCACAAGTTTGGCAACTCGTCTGTTCTCTGGAGTTCATAAATGTTAAAGGCTGCGATCACAAAGGACTACAGTTTCTAGCAGCACACTGGGTTTCAGTAATGCTTACTTACCTAATTAACAAGTGCATTTAAGATAAATTTAGTCAACGTTTTTAGCACATACAGTTTACGTGACAGGATTTTCACAGTCTTCCATGTCCTGTAGAATAATCATTTTGCCGTAGCACAAATTAGAAGGCTTACCCATGTCTTTGACTTTCTTCTGTGTTTCACTGCTGAATTTGCTTAAGAATGGATTTTCCTGGGTTAGCAGAATTTTAACATCTTCTATGCAGACATTTATAATTCTTGCATGAATGAATGGGTACAGAGTATAAATTCCCTGTTTAATAAATAAATATAATTATTTCAAAATGCAATCTCTACTTTCTGAAGGAAAAATGTTAAAAATAGCATGCCCTTTAGATAACAACAGAAAACAATTTTCACATTTTAAACCATACTAAAAATGTAAATTGTCATTAATCTGTCAAAGTTAATGCCAGCTCTACTATAGGCTGTAGAGGAAACCGAAGTATCTCCTTTGAAAACACAATGCTATGCAATTACCTCTTGTGCTAATCTGAACGCACATCCAAACTGTTCACCATCACTGTTGCGAGACCAGACTTTTATCCCTGTGTTAATAACCTGCAAACGACAAAGCCAATAAGCATCATTAAGGAGTATAAATTCTAAATTACCACTCTGAACTTTGCTTTTCCTTAACTGCTTGACTGAAAGAAGGAAGAAAGGATAATTCTGCCACAATATTTGTTCAGTTGCGCTGGACACTGAATTAAATTCATGTGAAAATTCATTCAAGGGAAAAAGGAATTTCCACTATCAAAGCAATTCCATTTCAACATAAACACCTTTTACTCCTTTCCATGTTGAAAACTGAACACTGTGAGGAAGTGCTAGCCTTAAAATGAGGGTAATGAACTATTAAGATCTAATTTTAATTCTAGCTTGAGTAAGAATTTTCTGGGTGATTCTGGGAAAGTCAGTCAAGGACGGGATTTTAAGAATGCACAAGTGCTTAATATTAGGACACTATATCCTTGGCGGTACTCAGAGTCTCAATGCCTAATATCATGCACTGGTTTCTTAAAATTTTGTCAATTATGTAGACATTTGCTGCATGTGGGATAAAAGGATAATTATTTATCCATCTCAAAGATCTGTTGCAAATATGTAATCACAGAATCACAGAATAGTAGGGGTTGGAAGGGACCTCTGTGGGTCATCTAGTCCAACCCCCCCGCATAAGCAGGGTCACCTACAGCAGGCTGCACAGGACCTTGTCCAGGCGGGTCTTGAATATCTCCAGAGAAGGAGACTCCACAACCTCCCTGGGCAGCCTGTTCCAGTGCTCCGTCACCCTCAGAGAGAAGAAGTTCCTCCTCATGTTCAGACGGAACTTCCTGTGCCTCAGTTTGTGCCCATTGCCCCTTGTCCTGTCACTGGGCACCACTGAAAAGAGCTTGGCCCCATCCTCCTGACACCCACCCTTCAGATATTTGTAGGCATTTATAAGGTCCCCTCGCAGCCTTCTCTTCTTCAGGCTGAACAAGCCCAGTTCCCTCAACCTCTCCTCGTAGTGGAGATGCTCCAGTCCCCTCACCATCCTTGTAGCCCTCCGCTGGACTCTCTCCAGTAGCTCTTCATCCTTCTTGAACTGGGGAGCCCAGAACTGGACACAGTACTCCAGATGAGGCCTCACCAGGGCAGTGTAGAGGGGAAGGAGAACCTCCCTTGTCCTGCTGGCCACACTCTTGTTGATGCACCCCAGGATCCCACTGGCCTTCTTGGCAGCCAGGGCACACTGCTGGCTCATAGTTAACCTGTCGTCCACCAGGACACCCAGGTCCCTCTCCGCAGAGCTGCTCTCCAGCAGGTCCACCCCAAGCCTGTACTGGTGCATGAGGTTGTTCCTCCCCAGGTGCAGGACCCTGCACTTGCCCTTGTTGAACCTCATCAGGTTCCTCTCTGCCCAGCTCTCCAGCCTATCCAGGTCACGCTGAATGGCAGCACAGCCTTCCGGTGTATCTACCACACCTCCCAGTTTGGTGTCGTCAGCAAACTTGCTGAGGGTACATTCTAACTCTTCATCCAGGTCGTTGATGAAGAAGTTAAACAAGACTGGGCCCAGTACTGACCCCTGAGGGACACCACTTGTCACCAGCCTCCAACTAGACTCAGCGCCGCTGATGACAACCCTCTGAGTTCTGCCATTCAGCCAGTTCTCTATCCACTTCACCGACCAAATGTAATTCATATGTAATGAATATCCGAGGAAATTTTCACAATTTGACTGGACAAGGCACTGAACCATATCTGATCTAGCTTTGAAGTTAACCCTCCTTGGGACAGGAGGGAAGCTGGACTAGATGACCGCATTCTAACTCAAATTATTCAACAACTTTTAAGACAAATCTTCAGCATTTGCAAGGCATTTTCCCTGGGGGGGGTCATATAAAAAAAATTATCATTTTCCCCCTCTAATTCACCAAAACTACTTCTTTTCCCATTATCATTCAGCTTAACAACTTATCAAAATATTCAGTTGTTGAAATTACTTTGAAACAATGTCCCACGTAACACAGCCAGCTAATAATTCAGCTGAAGTTACCCGTTATTTTCAGTAGGCTTTCAGAGCTCTTAATACTTTTGTACTTAAGGGGCTCACAAATACAACAGTGTCCACATAAAGTTGTGAAGGTACCTAAAGACCACATAACAATGCTGGTACACACACAGCAGTTACATATTCCCTTCCTCTACTTGTAAGTTCACTTCCATCTGCCATAAAACATATTGATCTTAATCTTGGAGACTGTTATTCACCTCTCAGAGACAACTCTTCCTCTCTTTAACAGAGGGGGGATAGAGAGGAAAACATTCATATAGACTTAAAAACAAGGCCTATCTGAGGGCCAATCCTCTATATAAATAACCAGCTTGGCAATAAAGTTCACGGAGACATCCACTGATGCTTATGATCTCTGCTGTGAAAACCTGAAGAGATGAACCATACCTTCATCTTCTCACTGTTGTTCAGAAGCACATTCCTTAGCTCCTTAGAAACCATGTACAGCTGTCTCTTCTTTCCTTCCTGAGTTCGAGTTAGTAAATTCATCTTGGGAAATGATGGGTCCAATGCATAGAACTTCCTGTGGCCATAATACTTGCTTTGATTAACTGAACAATGAAATGACATACTCAAAATGCATGGGTTAGCCCATTTCCTCGAGCTATCTCTGCAAACACTTAACACTTTGGCTCCACAACACAAAGATTGGACTTTCTTAGATGCATGACATCAGAAAAGACAAGCTGTCATAGACACTAAGACAAATTCAAAAATTTCCAGCATAAACTATAGTTGGCTATTTTCATTTAAGAGTTAAGTATTGACGAGAGGAGCACTTGGTGCAAAGGTAAGGGAAAAGTTTTATGTACGACCAACTAAACCCATCTTCTGTGATGAACTGAACTAATAATATTCCTAAGCTATCAGAAATCTTACTGCCAAAACAGAAATATCTTTTTCTTACTGGATAGGAAGGAACAATGGATCATCTTCCGGGAGAAACACAAAAGGGTCTTCTTTAAAACCAAACAACTTCATTTTTTTAGATGGTGGCGGTCTAAAAAGCAAGTACCATTGCATTGTCAATTTCTGTAGAAGTACTTGGTTTCTAATCAGTATATTCATTTAGTCAGCTCTTGCATTATGGTAACAATAGTATGCCAAAGAGAATACTGACATTTTCCTGTGCTTCACTAAGACAACACTACCCACAATTTAACTTCTTAAAATGAGGAAGTGAAAGCAGTACTGGAAAACAGAAATCACAAAAATAAGTCAACAGAGATTTCCGAGGGAGTAATTGAGAACACAGCAAAGATCTTCCAAAGGTGAACTTCTGAAAGTAGTTTGTTCCTTAACAGAGAAGGAAGGACTAACAGACTTTGCAAATGCTAGTAAAAGAAGTGGTTATTTTCCTAACTGGCTGAAATACAAGTCAGAAAATGTGAAAACATAGGACAATGGAGCAAATTCATTAATTCTTTCTGATTGACTTCTAAATGAGTTCAGTAACAGAAGAACTATAGAATACCCAGCAATTATGAAGCTGTCACAGCACAAATACTTAGACATGGTCTCTTACCCACATACTGCTTCCTTTTTGCTTTGCTCAGTGTCAGAATTCTGCAATTCTTGCGTTTTCTTCGACTCTTCGTTTTCAGCAAGTGTCGGTTCTTCAGTAATACATTCAGGACCATTATCTGAATTAGTTGCTGTCACTTCAGTGTCTCCTGTTCTTTGTGGTAATTTCTGATGAACCTATTTTAAATTAGAATATTTTCAACAAAGCAAAAGTAGTATCTAACTTGTAACAAAAGGTACCTATGTTCTCTCTTTGCATGTGCTTAATTCTTATCAATTTGTATGTAAGTGCTTAAACAGATCCATTTAGGTAGTTAATCTGATTACTAGGTCAAGGTACCATTGTAAATTACATTTACCTCTACTACTGCTGTGCACAATTTCTGACCAACTGTCCAAGAAAGCTATTTTTGTACAATTTACAAAACCACGTTCAAGCACTTACAGTGAAAACTATTTTAAGTCAGGATCTGATGCTGTCCTCGTAGCACTCAAAGTGACACACACGTCCTGCTGCTGCACGCTTTCTGTCAGAGTGCTACATTAAACTTAGAACAGCATAAACTATTTGGATGACGCTTGCTTCTGAATAAATGCTTCTTCCTTACTGCCACACACATTTTACTCATAAGACATTCTAATGAAGCAAATCAAATAAACAGAAACAGCTAAAAGGGATTCACATAAGAAGTTTCTCTCAAAGATATGAAGAACAAATAAATCATGTCTACTTAAAATCCTGTTGACAGGATTTTAAAGACAACTGACAACAAATGGATTAAAGTCAGATGGCTGAAGCTGCTGCTGCTCCTAACAGTTTTACATCCATTCCCCCTGCTGCTGATCTGCTAGACTAATCTGCTAGTGAATCACTCCTGAGCAACCAGCCACAGAGTAAGATAAACTGAAATCAGAATTAGCTTACAACACAGCAAAGGTACCACACACAGCTGAAGGAAGCGACAGCTTTAGCTGCTCAATTTAATCTGCTCCTCTAATTCCTTCAAAGCCTTAATTTCAGGTTTAAGTTTTATCTTGCTATTTTACTATGATCTCAAAATCCTCCCTTTTTTTTTCTATTTTGAAAGAAGTTTTTTTTTAAAATTCTTAAGGGATTTAGGAATGTATTTTTAATTGACGCACCTAACTATAACTGAAGGGCAGATACAAAACAGCTATAGTATGTTTTCTATTGTCAGCTTTCAAAAAAAATCCAGAAATGTTATTAAAATTCAAAATGTTAGCTCTTTTAAAAGAAGTTACCTTAGGCTGACGTTTATTCCATGGCATTGGAGATTTTTTTATTAACACAGCCACAAAGAAACCTCCTGTGTTCTGGTGATGTGGCAATATCCTAAGACTAGGAGGGGGTGAGAAAAAAAAAGTTGCAGTGTATTCATCATCAGGGTTCAGCCTCTCAAAAAGTACTTGCAGTGTCACATTTACGTTTACTTTCACGGTAAACCAAGTATTCCTAGTAGGATTGCAGAGATTTAATTTATCAAGCTAGAAACAGGATCTAAAACAGAGCATTCTGGCAGAATAACTTGCATCAGTGCAACACATTCATTTCACCATTCACATCTGAGCTTTAACGACTCATTTCTAAACACTATTTTTAGAACAGCTACTGAAAGTCTTTGATAGAAAAGAAGTCACACTGTTAAAATGTTAAAGTTTTACATACTCATCCAGTAATTTTGGTAGTGTATCTCTATTGGATGAACAGAATTTGACCTGTCTCTGTGAGTACTTATTCCTTGTAAGCAACTTTCAATAATCTCTTTTAGTTCACTGAAACTTAAATACTGTGTACTGCCATTACATAGGAAGCAATCAAAATAAAGTCCGACCTACACAAGCACAGGTCTATACTGCAACACATTCCTAATCTGGCTTCCTAATCATAATTCGCCCACCACCATGCAAGGTAACTATCAAAACCTCATAAAAATCTACTCTGGGAAAACTTACCAACGCTCTAGATTCATTGCCTTTAGCTTCTCTTCTTCTTTTACTGGGAACATAGTGGGACGTATTTGTGTTTGTCTATTTGAAGGCACATCTTTCCACTCTTCAAACCACTGTCCATCTTTCAGCATTACCTTCAAAGGAGTAAACAGAAACACTATGAAGAATACGGGTCACCGTTTTACAAGTTTTAATTAAAATACTTCAAACCAAGGTTCAGATGCCAAAAAGAGTAGTTATTTTCTGGTATAGTAAGTTAAGTTCTTTAAAGTGTATTATTATTCCTACGTGCATTTTACATGTGCACTTAGGAGCAGGAGGTTCTTGCCAGCTGTACCTCTTTGCTCCACTCTTTATGCTTCAAAAAGTGTACAGTCAAGTAAAGACTGGTACAGAGTCAACTGCAGTGAGGTCTGTTAACTTTCCAGAATGTTCAGAACACCAGATTCCAAAGGAAGGACAGTGGTGGAACACACAAGAAGACTAGTAAGCCATCAGATTTAGGATACATTACTACTTCTTCTCCATGAGAGTGGCTGTGAGACATTCTGCTACAGGCAGCTTCCAAGCAGTATACAAAGGAAAATGCCTACTGCAGTCTGGTAGAGATTAGAAATGAGGAATCCCAATTTCATTACAGAAGAAAGATGCAAGAATGAAACACAACAGCTTGGTAAGCGTACAGCCCCATGACACAGCCCTACATAGGTCATAGAGCGAGATGTTTTCAAGGAAAGCTACTGAAGAACCATGTCCCCGTGAATTTTCCAGTGTCTGTATCTTTATCCACGACTCAGAACACATCTATAAATCCACTCTAAGACACTGTGTGGACATAACATCACCTCATGCCATCTAAGGGTCAAATGTTTTGAAGGACGCTTAAGATACAAACAGAAGGTTAGAGCCACAACTCTTGTAGCAAGGCATTTTGAATGGTATCTAAGCAAGAATACCGAAGTGGAAAAAAAAAAGCAACAGACAAAATTTGCCTTCAGAACTCTAGACGCCTGGTTCTGTACTGGACGCTAGGGCTGTAAGAAAGGTCGCATCCAGTAATGAGCAGGGCAAATGCATGGAATTAATGACTGAAATGAAGGCCCGGTTTTGTTGTTAAGGCAACAAAATAGAGAAATCACAGTGATGGTAACTTCAGGACTGGCAAGTACAATCGAGTGCTTTCATACATCTCGCTGTGATTGTCTTGAAGGTTTAATTAACTGTTCTACTGGAAACTGAAACACAAGATTTATCTAGATTACAATTTCACTAAGAATGTTACAACACAGATTTCAGTGTCATGAAGTCTGGCACTTCTCAGCCACTGATCAGATCACACCTAAAATATTGTGTCTTTGCATGTTCCTGAAACAGAAATGACTGTACTTCCAGAATCAGTATTTTTAAGTCCAAATATGCTACATGTCATATTGCTAGATGGGAGACATGATAGACTGCAATTCTGAGCTGCTCATCTTTGGAAGTCACAAGTTCAGCTTGAGAGAAACAAACAACGGGACTCATAAATAACTGGAAGTATAAACAAGTCTAGAACTACTTTGCATGTACTAGAATAACTGCCTAACAGCCCATCTCTGGTCAGTTTTGTGTTACCAGTCTAACCACACAACGTAACTGCTGGAAGGACAACGCATCAAAGAACATGCTGAAGTCTTCTCTACTGGGCATTTTGCTAGTCTCTTATTAGGGCAGAACGAAGACTAAAAGCATTGCAGAAGAAGATTAACAAATCTGAAGTTAAAAAGGTCTCTTCCTTCAAGATTCTGAAATAACTCATTTGAGTTCACTCATCATCTGGCTTAAGGAGACAGCACTGAATGCTATTTCCAAGCATCTAAGTGTCCCTTGAACAAGAGATTTACAGATTTCCAGCGATTTACAGTCAACTGATGATCAGGAACATTCAATGTAATCACTAAGTCACAGAGCTCCCATTGAACTGGTACATTTCACCAGGAAACAAAAGACCACACCAAGTAAAAAGAGCACCAAAGCAAGCAAATACATTCAGCGATGAGCCAGCCAATGAGGCTTGAAAAAAATACAGCAGCAGCAAATAAGGGATGAAGAAAATCTTGCAAACTTCCAAAAGATTTTATTAGCCTACATTTTAAAATATCCATTAGAGAGATTCATATTTCAACTGCGAACACAGTAATAAATGTTACAGGGAATACAATATCCTCTTAGTGATCTTTTGTATAAATTTTGTAGCCTTATACAGTACAAAAACAAGTAAAACTAAGATTATAGAGCCACAATCATGCATTTTACATTTATCCTTCAAGTACAAGCATACAATTTAAACTTTTGGAGCTGTAAGAAGAAAGAAATCAGCCAGTTTCTAAACTGAATTTCCAATGACAGAACATAAGCAAATCTTTATTGCATGCATCTTGCTCATTAGCCTACACACAGGCACCAACCTGCAGATTGTACCATTGCAAGAGACTAGTGAAATGAGGAGGGAAGACAGAACAACAAATGGCATTGCAAAGGCACACACTTGTAATTAAAATTTAAGCAGAGCTTCTTTCCCTGCTACCCGGATGGCCTTCTACTCTTCTTGATTATACTCTTAACAGGAAGCTGAAGAAGCTTTAGGGGGTTTTGTCCCTCCCTACCAGTCTGTTTCCAGAATTGCAATTGCATAAGACCTGGAGCAACTTACAGGATTCTATTAATATTCTAGGATTACTCACATAATTGCAGTTTTTATAGCTTATTTCCAGAAACAGCTTTTAATTCCAAATGATTCAAATGGATTGGACAAAGAATTGTAGAATGTAACAGACTGTAAAGGCAGAGGAGAGCGGTAACTTAAAAAGTGGCTGAAATTATGTTGCCATCTACAGGCCACATACTGCATGCAATGGAAAATGGAATTAAGAAAGTACAGGAGATAGAGCAAAGAAAGCTAGAGGAAAAAGAGGAGAGCAGATGAGGAGACAAGAACTTACCATCAGAAAGATTTTTAGCCTACAATGCTAAAAATTGTAGCATTTACTACAATTTTTAGTAAAAAAAAATTTACTAAAATTTTTTAGTAAATTTTTTGTTGTTGTTAAGGCAACAAAAACAACACCCTACAATGCTATATTGTCTTCAGCTCTAAAGAGCAAATCATTACCATTACTTCAGCTCAGTCTAATGTTTTGAAATTTTATACTTCAAAATTTCCCTAATATAACACTCTACGATAGACCAAGAACTTCACAGAAATATCAGGTAAGTACCTTCCATTTTGTAATTCCCGGCATCCTCTTCAAACCTGGCAACTCAGAAGATACATCAGCAAGTTCTAAGGCACCTGAAACCCCAAGAACATAAACATTCTTGAAAACAGAATTTGAGAGTTGTGCTCCTAATTAACTTTTACAAAACCAATTTTCCTTCAAGTTTTAAGACCATTTTAAGACCAATGCTTTTTAAACCTTTCAAGGAACAAAATGTTATACAATTACTAACGTATAATTTAACAAAAGAGATGGTAAGAACTGTTCGTAATAACTACAGAACGTTGCAACCTATAAATTAACCAAAATATAATGGTTAGACAGTTTTTGTAGCAGCTGCACGCAGCAATATCCTACAACCTGTATCGTTAAACATCAGTGTTCCAGGCAGCACAGTCATACAAGTTTTAATTCTCACTTACTTAGTATTTAGATTTACTACACTGATTAATATTTTTCAGAGAAGTACTCTTTTGCGACTTCCTTTTAAAATGCTTGATATATTCTGATTACATGGAATTACAATCTTAATGTATTCCAGTATGAGAGGAAAAAGAATTTATTATTTTTTTAATGGAAAGAAAAATTCCAAACTGTTTAACAGGAAGGTAAGTACTATCAACTTAACAGGACAAAAGGCTACATGCCTAAAATACGTCAGATTACTGCAAGAAACATCAACAGAGTACAATTTAATCTACGAAATAAAAACTTTAAACTGCCCCAGGTCCAGAAAGACTGATATAAAAACTTACTGTTTAAATAAGTGATCTCTCTAGAGAAGAATAACCTTAAAATTTCTTTTTTGTGATTCTGAATGCTAGTTATTTAACAGTTAGGTAGGCTTTTCCTCATGCTGTGCACAATTTATCAACCTGTTCTACATGACTAACCGTTTACTCTCACAGTTTCAGTTTAAGCAAGTCTTTTAAATAAAGTAATACATAAATTCATAGACAAATTCCAAAATGACATTTCACATCTGATTAAACTTGACGATTGTGTCTGTCCTTTGAATATTCCTGCCTACCTACAGCGTGACTTCAGCTGATGCCTCAAGACTACATCAGACTCATCACCCATTAAATGGTCTGTCAGAAGTACAATTCCCAGGAGAGAAACATGGTACGCAAGTGCCTTTTCCTTACGCCTTCAGCCCCAAGGCAAAAGCAGCCTTCTGATCTCCTCCACAAGTAGATGTACAACACAGGGCTAGGAACTAAGTTGAGATCGAAGAACCAACCAACCTTCTGGACTGACCTGAGCAAATCCAGGATGTCCAGTGCCCCTTGCAGACCACTCCACTACCTTGCCCTTCTTTAGCTACACCTATGTGCAAGCCCCAAGGATAAGGCTGGCTCACTGGGACACGTCATAGCCTCCAGGTAAGCCTCAAAATACCCTCCCTGGGCAGAGACAAGGTCCATATGCCACAGCCCAATACCGCAGTCAAGATCCTTGCTTCCAACTACTGAATTTGCCCCAAACACTGCAATTGTTGGCCTCTGTCAACATCCATCCTGCTTTGTGCTCTTACCCAAACCAGTCCTTACTGCTTTCCAATCTTGTCATCGTTCAACTTAACTCTGGTGCGCTATAGCCTTCAATAAGTCAAGCATACTATAATTTACTGGAAACATGCCTATGTTGTTTTTTCACTCAATCAGTCAGAAAAATTACCTCTAAAAAAAAAAACATCCTTTGAGTGCAAATTAAACAGTCAGTTCCTAATTATCTGCAAGCATTTTTGCTAAACTGCTCTTTGGGAGACAATGAAATTTCATGCATAATTTGGGACCAGAATAATGACTTGCACAAAGAAAAAATTACACAAAACAGGCTATTCTACTTCCAGAACCAGCTCAGCTCCAGGAGTAATACAGCTGCTTCTTCTCTGTACAAGGCTCAACTTAAACTCTGTGGAGCTTTTAATGCAAACTCCAATTAGATGTCTCTAAACATCAGGTTACTGAAAAAAAAACAGTGTCCATCAGCTCAAGACCAGAAATTTGGGCTACTAAGCCCTCCTATCATAAACTGATGCAGTGGAGCTAACCTCAATTTTTCCACTTCTTCTTACTTCAGATGACGGAGACTTTACAGCAACTTCTGCAAGCCTTCATATGCAAGTCAAAAGTGTAAAAAGCCCCATCAGCTTAACGGCATTAAAATTCCAAGTGTGTCAAAATGTGTGTCAAAGGATGCCAAAGGTATCAGTGACTCCCACCTACTGGTGCACAAGAACATTCCTCTGACTGCTTAAGTACACTCTGGGCCTTTCACTCCTATGGTGTACAGCAGCAATGTCCCACATCGTGTTTTCCAAAGGAAATATGAATGTCAGATAAGGGACTCCAACCAGTGGAATTGGTTAGCAGATGCCAGGTAACACAGACTGAATGTTATTGATCTGTTGGAGTCTTTTGTGCACCATGAACAGAACTTCTGCAGGTTTTACATCTGCACCCGATTTAGGCCCATTTAAGAAGGCTGCTCATATCAACATCAATGAAATCCTACCAGTAGCAAAATAATTGCTGCAGTTTTGCACACCAGGAGCACATTACCTACACTAAAGTTATTACTATCATACACGTATCCTTTTTTTGGGCTGAGAAATAAAGATTTCCCCACTCCATCCAAGCTCACATTCTCACCTTCACTCTTTTCCAGTAGAGATGCGATCACCGCCTCATTTTCGATAGGATTCAATGAACACGTAGAATACACCATCCTCCCGCCTTCTGCCAGCTGTTCAACACCACGGGTTGCAATTCTTAGCTGCAATCTAACAGAACACTCTTGGTCTAGCCAAGTATCATCCAGGAGACAGAAAGATTTCCCACCAAATTTCTTACAGGTGAAGCTATACTACAGACACATAACGGTCCATGGACTAAGTCAGCACATACTGAGGACCACAGCTGCCACCAGTACAAAAGTCAGTTTTCAACTAAGTCAGCTTAGTGCCGTCTAACACTGCAGGCACACTCACAATAAGACCTACTAAAACAGCTATGAGGTGAAACATTAACACCACTCCACGATAACTTAACACTCCGTATTTTGTTCCTTCTAGTACCCCATAAAGTTTATTATAAAGTGCTCAACACCAGAAAAATAACCCCCCAAAACCTTACTCTTCTTCTCCGAAATCTAGAATTAAAACAAGGAGCAATTTGCCTATTACAAATATTACGGACAACACAGCTTAGCTAGCATTGGCCTTCTGACAAAAGTATCACCGAGCTGGACCACCAGCTTATACCCTACCTGCATACTTGTAACGAAAATAAAACCTGTAATTATGAATGAGTTACCAAGCAGCAAGTTACCACAGGTCAGCTGAGACACAGTAATGGACATTCCCAGCTCATTACAAATGCACAGTAAAATGTTTTATCTTTTTCATCTGTGTTTAAATTACTGCTTTTTACCACACACCTGCACTAGGCTAAGTACTCATTCACCATCAGTTGACATAAATCAGTCTCATGTAACTAAAATCATTCATGTATGACCTCTAACACTCTAAAGATGTTACAATATTACTATTAAATTTTACAAGTTTCTGTGTTTTACCTGCCTAACTGCTAACAATCCCAACCAAATGATCTGTTCCCTGTTTTATTAGCTACCTTGTCTACATTAATTCAATAAATATTAATATGTCCAATATAAGAATACAAGAAATTTATATTCACACACTCCACTGGAGGTTCACCTCACATATGAAACACTATGCTTTCTCTGAATAGCACATAAGCTCTTGATTTGAGAGAAAATCAACTTTTCTTATCTCTGCTTTGTCATATATTAACATGTGAATGCATGCAGATTTTAAAGATATGGGAAAAAGGAGGAGAGCGTGATGAAAGAAGTGCAGATGTGTAATAAGCATTTTTACCCATGGAGCTGCAAACTGTTTTGTGTTGTCCACTTCTTCCACACATCAATGTTTTTCCTCATGGTTCCATCTCCACTGTAACAGAGGTAGATTAGATTTGTATTATTTGTGGGTAAAACTCATTTCACATCCAAGTCATTTACAGCAGCAAAAAATTAACAGTCCCTCTCCCACGTTAACTAGTTCTCCCATGCTGTACTGTTTGCTTCTACACTATCTTTGTATTTCAGTATCCTGAGTATAAGTTCAAAATTTGAAGGCCTTCAGCTGACCAAATTTAAGCATCACTTGGAATGAAAAAAGTTCACCTTGATTTGGTATCCCCTTACCTAAGACATTCACCTGTTTTGGAAGTTACTACAAATCCTAACTCACTAAGCAACTCAAAAAGCATAACTCAGTAGCACAAAAATTCCAGCACTGCACTTAGCGCAATAAAATCTGTTTATCAAAGATTACATGTAAAATACCTGCAGGGCACGTCACACAAAATCCTGTCATAGAAGAGGACCTCTTTTCTTCCATCAACATCTATCTGTAGATTAGGAATGCTGGAGGCATCATGATTTACCACCATGATGCATGGACTGTTTAACCTCTTAGCCTGATGAACCAGCAAATAGCAGCGCTTGTTGTCGACATCATTAGCAATTACAAAACCCTCTGGGAATACAAAATAGTGGGAAGATGCTTTACTATTCAACAGCTAAATAATTTTACACAGTCTATTGCCTTATCTTCAAAGTTGTGTAAACCTTTCACTAGAGATTTTTACTTAAAAGACTACTTATGAACAGAGGACCTGCTGCTGAATATAAAATAACATAAATTATATCAAGGTTTAACTGATACTTCACAATTTTTATGGACAGTATTTTCTGTGAGCATCTAACTAAAAGCAAAAATTCTGAAGCTTTACAAAAAAAGGTAAATATCATGCCCACTTTAAGGCTAAAGCAGCTTAATCCAGTGTTTGCAGGATACCACTGAAACACAAGGGCTCACAGGCCACCATCTAAAGTTAAGCTCTGATCATGTCTACGGCAGTCTGAAATGTGAAGATTTATAATCCATCTCTCTCCTTCAAGACAAGGAAGCCCACAAAGTTTCAAGGAAAAGATGGGGTACTTCCCATCTCATACAACTCAACTACTTTGGGAATTCAGCATGTAGTTAAATGCAGTTACTTGTCTGTGATACTAAAAGTAACCTTCTACAAGAGGAAATTCAAAGTCACAAAAGTTTTTGGTAGTTTTTCCAGACTTACTGGGAAAAGGAACATTCATGTCTGCATGCAACATTTCAATGAGTTGTGCAGTCTTAGATCCAGGTGCAGCACACATATCCAGAATCTACAAACACCAGAAAGTTAAAAAAAAAGTCAAAGGTCTTACGTTGTATTTTGTTAAGGACTTGAAAAACTTGCTGTGTGTTTGTTTAAATTAAACACTTTTGGATACATCTCTGGACCTTTAGCTTCAGTAAAAGCTAGCTGAAATCGTGCAACAGCATAAAAGATGGGGACGGATCTGATCAGATCCTCGTGCAAGCCCACGGCACGAACAAAGCTAAACCAGAAGACAGACCCCAGAGAAACGCAAAGAGCATTTACTGACAGTTCCAGAGAACATGTGACGAGCACGGCCATGCAGCAGTGTTAACACATCATGAGACATACTCAGTAAGAGAGCATCGTACCTGCTGTTTAATGTAACAATCGTAACACTACCGGTTTCTACTTACTTTTGTAGATAATGCAAAAGTTAATGAAGAATAAGCAAGCCTGAGCATGCTCCAAAATTGTCCAGCAAATTGACAGTGAGGGAAAACTGAATTGTGAAAAGCAGATTAAAAATGAACACAATAAGCACGAAAAGTAACCTGCAATTCTGGTCATAGCAGGCAGCTCAGAGAACAAGGCACTGAGAACCATAAAAGGTCCTAACTGACAACAGCCAAGACACTGTTACAGCAACTATCTGCTGTCTCGCCACAAGCAAGGATAAAGAACCTATTCCGAGTCTGATTTATGAGGAAATTTGTGAAATCTTACAGGCATTTCTGAAAAGTGCTCGTTGAAATACGGTCATCGAAGTTAAACATTCAATGCAAAAAACACATACTGCTATCTTAGTATATGCAATGTAAGGTGTGTGCAAACATATTCTCACAATTTGTGTTTTACATTAAGCCAAACACATTCACTACCTGTGCAGCTCCAGACAAAACTCCAAATGCACCTGTGACACACCAAGACTGAACCTATCACTCAATTCATTACTCCCTTAAGTGAGGCGAGAAGACCTTGCCTCATGTAACATAGCCATCAGCCCTGTGTCTTACATTGGGCTGGGATACGAGTAGGAGAAAATAAAGTGAAAAGTTATGTATGCTAAGTAATGTTAATATAAAAACAGGTATGTCCAAAGGACTCCCTAAAACATCTAGGTCAGAAGTTTGAAAAACTTACAACTTTCAGATACGTCATGAAAAATTGAAGAAAGCAGCACACAAGGTGGTTGCTTGAGATAGCAAGGCACTTCTAACTAGCCCATGAACTTAACAGATCAAGAGAATAAGGCCGCCCGACAGATTAATTCTGCAACCATAGTGTATGAAAACATCCCTATGGTTAGAACAGGAAGTTTGCAACCAGATATCCCCACTCCTACAATCTGCCATTAGAAAATATCACAGGCATTCCTTAAACAATTCAGTTAACGTTAGCAATCTGTACTCCTCAGCCACCATGAACAGCATGTTTCAGCTCACCCAAATTATTTTGCCTAACAGATTTATAAAACAGAAGTTGTTTGCAACTTCTTCAATAGGCACACAGGGGTGAAAACTACCTGGTAAAGAACACTTGGATCCGGAAAACTACATCTGTTTACAGTGTGGTGGATAGCAGGAAGTTAAAACCAGCCACCTTACTTTAAAAGAGGGATGAAACATGAGTATATAACTTAGATGCAGCTAACTACATTTACACTTTGAAAGTAAGATTATGTAACTACTTAAAAACTAAGTGTTTTTTTACAGGGTACTACATGAAGCTGAAAAGGCAGATGTTCCCCTGACCGTCTATTTGAGATCTGAACGCTAGCTGACTGCTGTGGCTTACATGTGGAAAGCATAAAACACGCCAACAGAAACCAGAACTGTGGATCAGCATTGACGCTGCTGTTGCAATCTGTAGTTTAATCAGACTGTCTTCCAGGAAAAAACTCTAGTACAGAGTATATTCTCGGGTTACCTTATGATGAGGGTTAACATCAAGCAGCAGAGGTGGGATCATACTAACAGCCTCCTGACGACTGATATTTCCCTTGAAAGGAAAAAACAAAATAAACTCCATTTATTTATTTATTTATTTATTCCATTCCAGAAGAACGCACTTCTTTTGCAATAAATGTTTAAAATCTCTATGTGGTAAATGATAAAGCAATTGAAAACACACTCTTATAAACTCAGGACTAAATTTCGTTAGCATTTAACAAATGAAATCACAGTGCTTCATCCAGTGGACGTTTCTGATAATTTCACATTTACTCCAGTTTTATTTATTCTAAGGATAAAGTTTCTGCTCAAGAGATGAGAAACTGGCTTCAACCAAGCAAGAAACCTCCATCGCTAAAGGTGAGTCTTGATATATACACACACGGTCTTTTTACCAGACTGAAACACCTGTTTTCTAACAGCAACTAATTATCGCACAAGGACTGATTTTCACATTCTCGAACAAACAAACAAAATTGCCATTAGTTTAGGAGGAATATTTTCAACTGCGGCAATGTGCCAGAGTCGTGGGATGAAGCCCTGCTAACAGCAACATAAAATCCAGATCATTCTGAGCTACTCAGCCTCTGAGCGAGAAGGCGCAGCCTCAAATTCTGATAATGCCTCCAAATAAAACACTGCTCAGAATAGGAAAGAAAAAAAATGAAAAAAAAAAAGGCAGACCTATCCCATACTTACACATTCCGTCTCGCTAACCAGAAACTGGTGAAACTTCTCCAGCTGCGGTGACTTGCGTAAGATCTTCCTGCTCAGGTTGGTGTGCCAGGCCAACTCCTCGGGGTACCTGAGGGGACAGAGAGGGGAGAACGGGCCGGGGCAACGGAACCGAGCAGAACGGACCGGACCCACCCGCCGGGCCGCCCCCCGCCCCCTCACCGCCCTTCCCGGCCCCCTCACCAGCTCAG